CACATATACTTCTTCTTTTATAAAACCATTTAAAAATGCACTTTTAACATCCATTTGATATAATTTGAATTCATGAAAACATGCAAATGCTAATAACATTCTAATTACTTCCATCCTAGCTACGGGAGCGTATGTTTCATTATAGTCTATGCCTTCTTCTTGAGTATACCCTTGAGCAACAAGTCTAGCCTTATTTCTCACTATATGACCACTTTCATCAAGCTTATTCCTAAATACCCATCTAGTACCTATAGTAGATTTATTACTAGGCCTTTCAACTAATGTCCATACTTTACTTATCTCAAATTGATTTAACTCTTCTTGCATAGCCATAATCCAATGTTCATCATTTAATGATTCTTTAATATTTTTAGGCTCTATGCATGAGATAAATACAACATAATTACAAATATTTCTAAAAGAAGATCGAGTTGTTACCCCTTTGGATGGATCACCTATTATTTCACCATCCTTGACATAGTTGTATTCCCTTGGGTAAGAGACTTCATTTTCTTCAATGGTTGGATTCTCGAGAGGATCTTGAGTTTCCTCATCTTTCGTTTCTTCCTTTGATGATGGTTCTCCAATCATGTCCAACGTTATTTATATTTATAATGCCTACATCATCATTCGCACAAGAATCCTTCCTCGAAAGGGGATTGTAATCGAAAACAACATGTATAGACTCTTCTACAACTAAAGTTCTTTTATTAAATACTCGATAAGCTTTAGAATTTAAGGAATAACCCAGAAAAATTCCTTCATCACTTTTAACATCAAATTTACCAAGGTTTTCTTTATCGTTGTTTAAAACAAAACATTTACATACAAAAGGATGAAAATAACTAATGTTAGGGTTTTTATTTTTGAAAATTTCATAGTTTTCTTTAAAATTGGCCTAATTATTACTTGATTTAGAACATAACAAGCGGTATTTGTGGCTTCCGCCCAAAAATATTTTGGCAAATTATTTTCACAAAGCATGGTTCTAGCCATTTCTTCTAAAGTTCGATTTTTCCTCTCAACAACTCCATTTTGTTGAGGGGTTCTAGGTGCTGAAAAATTATGGCTAATACCATTAGAATTACAAAACTCAGTAAATCCAAGATTTTCAAATTCAGTTCCATGATCACTCCTAACACTAGTGATAGAGTAACCTTTTTCGTTTTGGATTACTTTTGAAAACATGATTAAATGTTCTAATGCTTCATCTTTAGTACTTAAAAATAGAACCCAAGTATATCTAGAATAATCATCTACCAAGACAAATGCATATTGTTTTCCACCCAAGCTAGTAGTCCTAGTTGTCCCAAAAAGATCTATATGGGTCAATTGTAATACTCTACTAGTTGACACATCATTAATGGATTTAAAAGAAACTCGCTTTTGTTTTCCTTTAACACAAGCATCACAGATTTTATCATAATAAAATTTCAGTTTTGGCACCCCTCTTACTAAGTCACCTTTAATTAACCGTTGCAAAACACTCATCCTAGTCTCCTATGCCATAACCAACTATCATGTTCATCCTTAGCAATTAGGCATAAATAAGTCATATCAATAAAATCTAAATGCACTATGTATATGTCCCTATTTTATGACCAACAAGCATAATCAAAATAGATGCAATGTCAATCAATTTTGCAATCATTTAAAATAAGACATTGTATCTTTTATCAAATTCATTTTCAAAAGATTATACTTTTAGCACATTCACATATACAACATTATGCAATGATGATTATAGAGATTAAGTGCATATGCATAAAGTTTTAAAGATGTTATGCATTAAAAGTTGATATCATTGAAAATTTGAAATCTATGCATAAACATTAAAAGGTTTAAGGTCAAAAATTTGTAAAACCAAGTTCTTGAAAAATCGATATCAATTTCATTTTAAAAACAATTTTGACCAAAAATTAATATGATGAACTAGAGTTATAAAACATTACAAAAAATTACTATGTTCATCATACAATATCTTTCAACATACATGAGATAAAACATAATCATTTAGAACATTTAAAACCTCATGCATGCATAAACTAAATGAGCAACCAAATAAAATAAAAACATTAAGTTTAGAGGTTACCCATTCCTTTTTCATATGTGGCTAGAGCATCTTGAATATCATCATCTTCATCACCATTGCTCCCACACACCTACAAGAGACATTTAAGTAGATTTTGGTATCCAAATTGCTTTGGATCCGTGAATGTTAGTTTCAATGCCCCTTGTTCCTTTTGGAACCCATACTTGTCTAATTTTAAATCGTTTTCCTTTCTTTAAAGGACAAGTATGTTTCTTATGACCATGATAATGATAATGTGAACATATTGTCATTATTGAACTAGATGAATTATTTAAAATGATATCTTTTTCTTTTGTTAAACATTCAAGCTTAACTTTCAAATCGAAATTTTATTTTTCAATACTTTCAAATTTCATTTTTCAAAGCTCTAAATCCTTCTTCAAGATTTCATTTTGATTTTCAAAATCCATTTTCGTTTCTAGAAGAAGTTTGTTTAATATGAAAATTTATTTTTCAAAGTTTTCAGATTTTATTTTTTGAAAGCTCTAACTCATTTCTCAAAATTTCTTTTTGATTTTCTAAATCTAGTTTGACTTTCAAAAGAAGATCATTTTTGAAAATAATTCATTATAAGCATCTTGTAACTCATTAAAATATTTTGAATTTAATCTATTTGAGTTAGAAGATACCTTTGGCTCTGTGAGAGCTAATAGAGACATCACCTTTATTGGTTCTTGTTCTTCCTTGTCTCCATAGATCTCCTCAAGCTTATCCCACATATCCTTGGCACTTGAACAAGAAGAAACTCCTTTATATACATTATGATCAATTGCACAACATAACATGTGCATAGCCTTTGTGTTTTGTTGAACTTTCTTCCGTTCTTGATCACTCCACTTCTTTGCCTTCTTCGTAGGAGAGGAATATCCTTTCTCGATTATCATCCAAGCTTCCATATCAAATGCTTGGATAAATATCATCATAAACTTCTTCTAACAACGATAATTTGTTTCGTTGAAGTGTGGAGACACGTTAATTGGTCTGGATTCTTCCATGGAGAATGAACCGGAATTAGAGCCATCTTTATCGATTTAACTCTTCCCGAATCGACTCAAGAGGTGGTTAAACCTTTAAATGAGTGAGGCTCTGATACCAATTGTTGAGTTAATCGATCAATGGAATTGGCCAAGGGGGTGAATTGGCAATAAAAATTTTGGTGGAAGCTTTTGTAGAAAATTGAAAAGATTTGCACAACGATTTAGAGTGGTTCGACTTTCTCAACCAAAGTCTACATCCACTACCTTAACTATCCACACTAAGGATTTTCCAACAAGTTCACTAATTTGTTCTTTCTTTTAAGGAAAAAGAGTAACCTTACAACTCCCTCAAGAATTATACCACAAATTCTTGAGCACACTCTTTTTTAAGAGAAATACACAAATTTCGTAAACTTACAAGAAAACCTCACAAGGTAGATTGTTTGCACAATTCTAGAACAAAGAAAGAACACTCAAAGATAAATACAATAGAGCACAAATGGTGTTCTTGAAAGAAAAATGAATATTGAATGAAAATAGGCTTGAAATGCTCAAACTTGAGGTCTGATGCTTTCTCTTTGATTCTCTAGCTTCTCTTCTTCCTTGTTATTGATTAATGACTTCTAATCTTGTTTAAATACTCCTTGGATCACTTCTGAACGTTGGAGATTATTAGTGGAGTCAATAGAGTCGTTATTGTGTGAAAACAATTAATAAAACAGGTAGGAGCGTGGGATGCATCGATACACTATGTGTAAAATTCAAATATTTCGACCGTTGGAAGACTTAGTGCATCGGTACACTGAGAGTGCATCGATGCGTAAATATGCTTCGATGTTTTGAAAAAGCCTGGGTGCATCGATGCATGTCTTGTGCATCGGTGCATAAAATCAATTCGATGTTTTAATAATACATGGAGTGCATCGATGCATTGTATGTGCATCGGTACACTAACGCTATTCGATGTTCAATTAAAACAAGGGTGCATCGATGCATTGATTTATGCGTCGGTACACTTACCTGAAAATTTGATTTTAGACTCGTTTTTTGTTCGAAATACTTTGTGAAAATTGTTTCAAAAGTATAAAACACAATTTTACACATTAGTAAGGATTGAAATTTATCTTAAAAGACTTGGAGTAATATTTTAATATTCGAATAATTAAACCGAATATACTTAGAAAATCATTTGTAAAATCTTAAAAACATTTAATTTAATTTGTTATATCGAAACATCAAAATTTTTTCAACAATGTGTGTAAGGTATCGATACTATTTAGCCACTATTATTGCAATTATTTTAAATTCCTACAGTATTGATACTTTGGTACACATACTTATAAAAGTATCAATACTGTCAACAATTCCGGTAGCACTTTACCGATTTTTCAAATTTCAACCGATTTTGTTAATTATCAACCACTTTTGTCAAATTCATTACTTCTTTTGTCAATTTGAAACTAGATTTATCAAATTTCAACATGTTATATTGTAAGGTATTGATACTTTATAGACATTTTTATCGCAATTCCTTTAAATTATTAAAGTACCAATACTTTTATACATATACTTATAAATGTATCGATACATGTATACTTTTAACCGATTTTCTTCACTTTCTTATATATTACTATATATATCGATACTTCCGTGTAATGTATCGATACCTACCGATAAACAAAGTTTGTCGATTGTCAAATTTTTTAACATTTCTTCATGTTTTCCACCTACAACATTATTATTAGTCAACATTTTCGGTAACGCTTAACCGACTTTATTAAATATTTTATTAAATTTTCGATCACACTGATTTTTAACTATATATTAGTCCGTCTTTCCTATGATAAAACCGACTCCCAATAGGCTAGTTTTTAGCCAAACAATTGATAATTTGCAGTTCACAAACTCCTAGATGATGGAACTGATGGTTCAAGACAAGTTTAAAAAGCATTTACCAGAATTTTTGCTTTTAGACATAAATAGAAGATCTCCACATCGAATGCCAAAGAATAACACATGTTCAAGCAGAACATGATTATTTACTTGCTACACTTTGAAATCTCATCTATGTTATTAGAGGCGTTATCCTGAGAACCTTGAGATGAATTGTATTGTCTTGAAGAGAGATGATTCACCAGACTTCTCTCCTTCTTGTCTGTTTGCTTGCCTTTCTTTTCTCCAGCTTCCAAATCCTGCATTTGACATTCGGTTATGTTCGGCATCCCAGATATCAAAACCAAGGATATAGAATGACAAAATATACTTGATTTGTTGATGAACCAGGTATTTTCAGTTCAAGCTCTGTCACTACATCGTTCGAACCATCACACTTGTCTCCGACACTTCCTCTTTCGTCATCCATTGATTTGCTTCCACAATCCCTTTGGAAGGAAACATCAGAAGACAATGCACGTTCCATTGGAGGATGTGCTGTGGTTGAATATGATATGAATGTTGAGCATGGATTGTCAACAACACCCGCATTATGATTTCCGAAAAATGGGTATGGTTGGAGTGAGGGCCGCCTTGCGACTGGACCCATAGGGACCGACAGAGGAACTGGATACAAGTAAGGTGGAGCTACAACAACCGAAGGATCAATACCGGTCCATGGGAACATGAATCTAAGCCTTTGCTGGTACTGAATTTTTAAGTTTGTGATATCACCTTGTAAATAAGCATTTTCCTCTCTGAGCTCTTTCTTCTCCTGAGTCAGCTGTTTGGAACAAAACGGTAATTGACAAAGCAACTAAAGTAGACCATAATCTAAAGGTTTCAATATTAAGATAAGGTCACCTCACACGATTCTTCAGTAAGCGATGAACACTCGGCCTTTAGTCTGTTGACTTCGGCAGTTAAATCGTTAAGCATTTGGGTCGTATCCACAAGCATGGTTACTTTATCGTTCTTAGGTCTATCAGGGTCTGCATTTCAAATTGTTTATTCGCGTAAATAAAAAAAACTTAAGATTTAGCAAAGAGTGCAATTAACAGTAATTATGCCTAAGAGAAGTGCTCTTGGTGTAGGGACAAATAGGTTCAGAAAGTTCAAGTAAAGGAGTATAAATGCATCCATCCAACTTCAAATAAAATTGTGAAACAAAGAACGAAGTAGACATCGATCTGGATTAGAAGAAATGAGTTAGACACTGCAATTTCCAAGAGGCCAAGTATAATGCAGTTAAAGAAAATGGAAAAAGTTTCCAAAGTTCAATTATCCGAAAGAAACTTCGACACTTCTGCACTTGCAGAAACTGCTTATGTTCACAGAGGTAAACAATATTCGAATGTTGAACGCATTTACGCACATTGCTAACTATGTTCCCCTAAACATGAAACAAATTTCAAGACATTTTACCAGCAGCTTCTAATTCAGCCAAGTTTAGTAGTTATCCAGAACTCAACCATGATAATTCTTCTTTAGGCATTCAAAGTTTTAAATTCAAAGCAATAGAATCTTGGAGTTAGATAGCTCAAATTGTTACTGCAGTAAAGGGTGAGTTTTCCTAGTAAGAGTGGTAAATTTATTGCCATAATTTTACCTACTGTGTTCCCCAACTCAAGAAATTGCTCATTCAGCCTCTCCCTCCTCAATTTTTCACGGTCTGCCTTCTGAGCTTTCCTTGCAGAGATTGAAGCCTTACCTTCCATATCCCGCCTTTGCCTTCCAAATAAACAACGAATACCCGTAGTAATTACTTTCAGTTGTTTAGAGATGGAAGATTGACCAACACTAAATAAGTATGAAAATCAAACGGTGGAATAAGCAAGAAAGAAGAGGAATTTAAGACGTAGAAGGAAAGAAAACCTGGGTTCCGGGTCTGAAGGGTCAAAATCTGCAGCCACAGCTTTAGAGAAATCGTTAGGCTTCCATTGATGATGAACCGTTGCTGATTCCCCCCCCCCCCAATATTAATCTTGCATTCAAAGCTATAAATCGAGCTAGGGTTCAACACTGGTTTTCTTTTGGATTGAAGCTGATGATTCAAAACTATAAATGGAGAACGACGAGGAAACCACAACAAAAGTAACTTGTGTTCTCCACGTGCCGAAACCTGTTCGTGGGGCCTGTCGGACTTAATTAAATAATTCACTAAAGGGCAGGTTTTTCAAGTGGTTAGCATACCACCCTAAATTTCCTAGGATCTATTTGACTTTTAATTTAATTGGTTGAAAATGTTATAGGGTTAATCACAACATACAGTCCAAACTACACCATCGACTTTAAATTGATCTCAAATTACAAACTATTTTAATTGAATCCTCAAATTACCGATATTATATCAATTAACTCTTCCTGTCATCTGTAAGTTAAACTAAATTTAAGAATTAAATTTAGTATGAGAGTAAGTATATTTAAAGTACATTGATCATTTTTAAATGTTTATGCACTAATCGAATAGACAATTTAAATATAATATATTTAAATGAAGACTTAAGGGTCAACTTTGCCTCTATAGTAGACCAAATTTATCATTTTCCTATCAATTTAGCCCTCAAAGTTATTTAATTACATCATTATATATCTTTCTCCTAAATTAATACCCTAAATTATAAACCCTCAGTTAGTGTTTAGAGGTAATGAGTTATGGTCTAAGGTTTAGTGATTATAATTTAGGGTTTTAAGTTAGGGGTAGGGTTATAGAATGATGCAATTGAACAACTTTGAGGGCTAAATTGATGCGATAATACGATAGGGGTGAAAGTGATAGTGTTAAAAATGAGGATTTCGCCGATGTTTTAATTGCTTCCATTAGGTGTTTTAGTGTTTTGTCATGGTGCTTTTGATGATTTAGCAGCTATGGAATGATTGTTGTGTTAAAAAATTAGCGCTTGAGTGGTGAAATTTGATATTATGGATCATAGTTAACGTGAATGTTGAATCGTCGATAAATTAGCTTATGTTCTTGTAACTTTGTGTTTTTGGTCAATGAAAGTCTATTGGCTCACATATATATGGAAGGGTGAACTTGAAAACCAAGTAAACCAGAGATTGAAAAAAGGAAAAGAAAAACAAAAATGTATGATCTTCATTTTCCCCAAGCTTCATTAGAAAAAAGCTATTATTGTTGCAACCAAATCAATCTTGATATGTAATATTATCATACACAGATTCAAAATAACGACATAATGTGAATGAAATGCTTGCAGTGGCAATTAGCATTATATTCCATAGCTGAAGTTGTATTCATTCATTCAGTTTACTCTACCTAATTGGCTGAAAATATATTCCTATTCTATTTCAGGCTATTGTGAAGCAGAAATGAGCATCCTGAACTTTAGTTTTGAAAAATCATTGTTTGGTTCTATGTTTTGTTCATAGAGTAACATTTTCAAGTTGAATTTTCTTTTTAGATAGTATCTTACTCTATATGTTATTGTTTCGTTGTTTATATAATAGTATTTGTTATCATCATTGTCTTTCGATTCTGTTTTAACATTGAGTTTAATTAGTGTTATATGTTTTTTAAACCCCATTAAATTATTTTTAATCAATTAGTTCAATCAGAATTATATATATATATATAAACCCTAGTTTTTATTTAATATTAAAAAAATGATTGAGTGAATTTAAAACAATAAAAATTCATGAAATATCTGTATGCTTGTTTATTGAAAATAAATTTTGTAAATTGTTTTAAGAAAAATTAACCAAACAAGTGAAAAAATTTTACACTTCAACATTCAAACAATGGAAAATGTGTGTAGACACATATTTTCGTCCGACTTTGGTTATCTGTTTAAATATATTAGTTTATTATATTATATATTATTTTTTTTGTATTGTACAACTGTGTTACGTACATAAACATATTATACTATATACTATAATATACTATGATGAGCATATACATTGTGTCCGTATATTTAACATACTTATATACATTACACTATTATATGCTTACATTGTAAATTCATGAAATATACATATTTGTTTCCATTGTTTTTATAGACCCAACAGTCCAAGACCAAACCCCAAAGCCCAGATACAAGCAAGCCCGATTACCAAGCAGAACCAGATCCAAGACTCGACCCGGAGAAGGACCCGAACTGACCCGAGAACTAGGCCCAGTGACAACCCGAGCCGAATTGGCCCAGATTAGTTAGGGTTCCAAAACCCTAATCTTTCACCTTGTTTCCTTAGTGTCGCACAACCAAACACACAAGGGAGCCGGTCAAACCGAGGACTACAAATACATGTAACTATTTCTAAGAACGATCACTAGAAAATATAAGAAATTCGAGCATTTGTAAAAGCTTCGAAGTGAAATAAAAGGGTAAAAGTTCTCACCTTTTTTTATTTTTGTGTTTGCATGTGGGTTGTCGTTTTTTACTCGAAAAAACCCAGAAAAGAAAATCGGTCGATGATCTGGGGAGTGCTTTTCGAGATCTTTTTCCTCAGATCTAGCCCTCCCCGACGTGGTTTTGAAAAAACTAAGTTGGTTTATGTAGAGGGGAGGAAAAGAGCTTTAGAAAAATCAAAAAGTAAAAATTTTCGCCGCCGATGAACGGCGGCCGAAATCTGGGTTCCTATGAACCCAGACGACTGTGTTCTTCATCAGATGAAGAACACCAAGAACATTTGAGAGAAAATAAGGGGTTTTTGATCGGTTTGAAAAAAATGAAGAATAATGAAATGTGTTTTTGGGTTTTGGCTTTTATACTAAACCCGAGTGACCCGACCGGTTCCATTAGGAGATTCGCGTGTTTTGTCAAAAAAGAGGGTTAATTACGGTTCAGTCCCCCATTTTTAAAAAAAGGTTAATTTTACACCCAAAATCAATGTTAACCCCAATTGCTTTTTAAATTTACCTCTATTTTAGTTTTCTTTTAATTTAGTCCCTCCTTAATTTAATTTTCGTTTTAATTTAATTATTTTTTAATTTAATTTAATTTTCTTCATTTTATTTCTTTATTTTCTTTTTTTAATTGTTTTTTAATTTAATTTAATTTAATTTTTTTTTTTTTATTTCTTTTCTTTTTTTTAAAAATTGTAATGGGCTTAGGTCTAAGGGTCTGGCAAGCCCAATGGGGTACCGACAAGGAGAACTCAGGTACCTTTTTTAGAACATAAACCGAGAGATACAAGGAATTAGAGCCTTCCCCAAAACTCTATTTCAAAACGTAGGATGTTTTACCTTAATCATGTAGTTTGTTATTTTTATTTTTACTTTCATCATTATCATTTTTATCTTACTAACTAATTTTTCTTTCATGTTTGTCTTTTTATCATTTGCATCATAAAAAGAGGTCATCGATCCATAAAAAGGTGTTCGTTACACACAAATAATATGCATTAATGGACAAAGGGGTTGTAATGCCAGAGGTGAAAAATGTCGAGGTACGACAATGGTTCGAAAAGACTCAAAAAGAAAAGGGAACCCGTCTTCAAGGAAGTTATGTGTCAGAAATGGTTAGCTATGCCTCTGTCAGCTAAAGAAGAATGATGTCCAAGAGCTACGGAGTAGTTGGGACAATTGGAAGGGTGATCGGAAGTGAAAGTTCAGCCAGCGGTATGGTGATATCGCACTCCTACTCTATGTCTAGACAAATGAGCCCTTAATCAGAGCCTTGGTATAATTATGGAATCCAGGGTATATCTGTTCCACCTTTAACCAGGAGGACATGGTGCCCACAATCGAAGAGTATACCACAATGCTGCATTGTGAGGGAATATAATGAATCGAGTCTACATCAAGCACATCAAAAGTCAGCCTTTTAAGAATGAGGTGGCAAAAGTTGCGGAGTAAATGAGAAATGGGTAACTGACCGGATTCAACAAAAAGGTAGCGGGGAAGGAATTCCTTGGACCGACATCAAGCAACTGATGAAGAATCACCTCGATGAATGTAAGGTGATAGACCTTTTCGTGTTGGGGATTTATAGTTTGGTTATCTTCTCGAAAACTTATTTTTTTAGATAATTTCTTACCGAAAACTTTAGGGTACATTAAGGCAGCTGTGGTGGAATTGTTTGAACAACTCCCGAGACGAGTAAATCCATCACCGGTAATTTTATTTGAAACCTTTCGCTCTCTCAACCACTGCAGAAACACTGGCGGAGGAAGATTCATAGGGTGTGCCTAGCTTCTCCAAGTTTGGATCCATAGTCATTTCTGAAAGACTAACGGGATTACTTATCACTGATTCAACACCACTTATTCAGCTTTAAGGGAATTTCTTACTCTGAAATGGCAAGAAGGTGCCTCAAAAGAAAAGTGGATGAAATATTCACACATCTTCAGGATAGGGATATTGCCTGGAGAGCTCATTGGTTAACCCACAGTGACATCCTCTTTCGATGTGGGGATTCAAATATTATGATATTACTTGGATTATGGGGAGGATTTTGATATTCTCCACTTGTGGCACTATGGCAGTATGGGGCATGCCAGTTTATCCCAGCAATATATGGAATATCTGGATCATAATTTGCATACCATGGGGACAACTACAAGAAAAAGGTAAAGGAAGTAGTTGAGTCATGGAAGAAAGTATTCGATGGATGTCATGGCTGCCAATGACATGTTTACTTCAGACTATTTGGAATGACGGAGGTTAAGAAAAAATGACAACATCCTCGTGCCGGATCATGAGGACACCCGAACCATGGAAGAACATCTTAAGCATGTTCCTTTCTAGCTAGAGATAACAATGAAAGAATTTGAAGCTATAAAGAACGAGCTGAAACAGAGGGTAAACGAACTCGAGGCTGAAAGATACCAGTGGAAATTAATATCGATACTCAGAAAGATCAGGCAGACAGGTAAGAGAAGGAACAGAAGAAACTGTTTTGAGCTCAAGGACTTGAGAAAAGGGTACCAAGAACAAGTACAAAGCAATTCCAATCTGAAAAGATCGTATGAGTACTGGAAAGGTGAAGCTAGCAGCCTGAAAATGAAGTTTGAAGGGCAGGATGAAAGAGAGACTTTGAAAGAACAGTTAAAGACTACTCAGAGGCGTTTAATAGACAGCCAGCACCAGAACAAGCATTTAAGGATCCAGGTGGTTTATTTAGAGAAGTCTCTTCAGAAACAGAAATACATGGATGGAAAAACCATAGCTGAGTTAGAGGCCATAGTGGACGGATTCAAGAAATAAATAAACGAGCTTCAGAAAGTGCCCTTTGATGGAGGGTTACAGTGGCGTTTTCGTTGGGAATAGGCTCAGCAAAGGGTGAAAGCTAGAGATGCAGTCATCCGTAATTTCTTAGAGCAAGTACAAAAGGCAGGTCATCATTTGCATGGTTTAGCAAGAGAAGCCGGAGTGGTTCAATAAGGAATTCAACCAGTGACAGATGAAGGAAGAAGACTTGTCAACCTGTTAGAAGATGTTCAGGGTCTACAGGATTTAGTTTGGATGTACCTTTAAAATATTTTTATCTCTTAAAAGATAAAACACTTTTGTTTCAATAAGGATTATTTATAATAGTAGACACATTTCTGGATCAATGCCTCTAATTCTCATGCATCATGTATTTTATGCTTTGCATTGCTATTTTTATTTTCCATTTTTTTACATTCACATTAACTAACAAAAATGTCTCATCAGAAGAAAGAGCAAACACCGAGTTTACATCCACATGCTCTGGACACGCATCATCCTCACAACATCACATAAAGAAGAGACAAATGGAAGCCAAAATCGCTCAACTCGAGGAGAACATGTTGAAGTTGCTAAGGGAGTTAGAAGAAAAGATAAACCAGAACAATCAGAGTACTATAGATACAATCACGAAGAGCCAAGAGTCCTTGGTCGATCATATTATGGCCAAGTTATCTGACTTACATCAAGCAAGTGCACATGGGACAGTTTCATCTGATGGGGTAGCTATGCCACCTATCACGTAGGGGTTATCTCACATGGAATCTTACCCGGACTACAAGGGGACTCATCTGCTGCAACGTCGAAAGACTCATATGCTGTAAAGATACAGACTTCTGTATCCAACCCTAAAAATAATCCAGATGATTACCACAAATCAAATTTTGATGAGGAAGACAAGGTGAAAAAGATGGAAGAGAAAATTAAGCTACTGGAAGACCAAATGAAGGTGGTCAAAGGGGACCTTGGTTACTATGGAGATGATGCATTAGAACTTAGCTTGGTCCTGGATTTGGTACTTCCACCAAAATTCAAAGTCCATGAGTTCTAGAAATTCGATGGAAACAATTTCCCTTTAGCTCACATCACCATGTTCTGCCTGAAGATGACGGGATATGTGGGAAATGACCAACTCCTGATTCATTGCTTCTAGGAGAGACTGTTTGGTTCAGTCATCCGGTGGTACAATTAGCTGAACGAATCTCATATCAAGACCTGAAAAGACCTAACCAAGTCTTTCCTGAAACAGTACAAGCACATAAACGATATGAGACCAGATCAAGCTATGCTACAAAGCATGCAGAAGAAGCATAACGAAAGTTTCAGACAATATGCACAGAGATAGAGGAATTTAGATGTGCAAGTTCATCCACAATTTGATGAAAATGAAACCAGGAAGATCTTTGTACAGACTCTGAAGGCTTCTTACTTCGGGCACCTGGTTGCAATCGCATCAAGAAACTTCTTAGATTTAGTTATGGTTAGAGAGATGATTGAAATGGCCATAAAACAAGGTAAAATCGAGGGAGGGGAATCAAACAAGAAACCTCCCATGAAGAATAAGAATAGAGAGATTAACAATGTCAACACCTACAATGCTAATAAAGGTGTTACAATCTCTAACACAAAAACAACTACAACTGTATCGTCAGGTACTTTTAGACAAAGTCCGAGGGAAGCTAGGAAAGAAAAAGAGAATGGGCAATTCGATCCTATTCCCATGTTATATAAATAATTATATCAATAGGTTTTCAACACTCATGTAGTGTCACCGTACCCTGTGGAACCAATGAAGCCCCCATACCCCATATGGTATGATAAGAACGCTCACTGTAAATACCATGGAGGTGTGTCAGGGCACACTATTGAAAATTGCCTCGCATTCAAGAGGATCGTATAAAGAATGCGAAACAAGATTTGGATCAACTTTAACTCAGGAGCACCAAATATTGCAAAAAATCCTTGACCTAATCACCAAGAGACTGGGATTAATGCAGTCACTATAGAGAAAGGCAGGAAAGTTGAAACTGGTGTTTCAGAAATAAAGTCTCCTTTGGCTTGGGTATGGAGCCAAATTATGAAAGCAGGGCTTCTCGCACTATGTTCAAACATATCAAGGAGTGAGATGGTAACCACTGTTGTTACCACAATGAAGAGGGACATGAGGTGCAAGATTGCCCAGTGTTTAAGGCTTTGGTCCAGCTCGTGATGGATAGAAGGGAGTTGGAATTCTATGAAGAAGTCCGAGATTCTCCGGAAGCAGATGTTTGTGCTATCGGAGAGTCATCTGAAAAAAGATATGACAGGGGTATTCCTTTGATAATTACCTCTAAGATGAAGATAATAGAGAAGACACAAGCAAGGATGGTGATCAAAGCACCCCGACCTTTTTCCTTCAAGGACAGTAAGCAAGTTCCTTGGAAGTATGGATGCCAAGTGAGCACCCTGAAAGAAGATGACGACGAAGTGGGGAAAGCTGTAGGGAAACACTACTTCCAAGAGGCTAAGTCCCCCCAGAGACAACTTGAACCCTTCAAAGGGGATGTGTTGGTAATCAATGAGCCAATAAAGGAGGAAGAAGCCATAGAGTTTATAAAAAATTTAAAGCACAATGAGTACAACATTGTGGAATAGTTACATACTCTATCGACACGTATTTTGATGTTGGCACTACTGCTAAGCTCAGAAGCACACAGGGGGCACTCCTGAAAGACCTAAATCAGACATATGTACCATAAGACATACCAGTTAGCAAAATGAATCGACTGGTAAAAACATTCAAGTTGAAAATCTCATCTCATTTTTAGATGATGAGATTCATCTGAAGAAAGAGGTCGAGGTAAGGCATTACACATCACCACCCATTATAAGGGGCACGCCTTAATGAGTGTGTTAATCGAAAATGATTTAGCCCTTAACATGATGCCGTTAGTTACGTTGAAAAGGTTGCCAATGTACACTTCTCACATGAGAACCTGCCAGAGCATGGTCCGAGCATTTGATGGGACCAAGAGGGAGATAATTGGTAAGATTGAGGTGCCTTTAACCATCGGACCGACCACATATAACATTGAATTCTTAATTATTGACATCATGCCTTCTTACAACTGCCTTACAGGAAGACATTGGATTCATCAAGCTGGTGCAGTACCATCCACGTTACACTAAAAAGTCAAGTTTGTCATTGACGTAGCTCTGGTAATTATTAATGCCGAAGAAGACATTGTGGCGAGTGTGACCACGGATGCTCCATACATTGAAGTATATGATGAGGAAATAGAATGTTCATTCCGCTTTTTAGAATTTATGAATACTACATTTTTGGCTGAAGGAAAAAAGATTTCCAAACCCTGACTTTCTGAGTGCACTAAAATAGAGATTAGACAGACCTTAGGAAGAAGTGCCAGGGTAGGAAGAGGATTTGGGAAGCTGTTGCAAGGAAAGATTAATCTCATCCTTCCTATATCAAAGTTAGATCAGTTTGGGCTTGGTTTTCAGCCCAGTCAACAAAAAAAGGAGGAGGGAAATTCAGAAGAACCGAGAAAGAAGAATGGCCATATTAATTGGAACTGAATTTCAATGGGAACCCATGGTATTCCCACCTCTTTATGACACATTCAATTCAGGTGGTTATGTGTTTGAAACCACCTTACCAAATTAGGAAACTACTCTGAAAGACTTGAGTATCAACGTCGTAATCATAAAGAATGCTGAAGATACGGATAGATCCAAAATCCGCCCACTGCCACCTTGGTCTGTGCTTAGCAACTGGTCGGCGGATGAACTACCTCTGATTTTCAAATTTCTTTCAGAGTAATATTCAAATTATCCATATTTGCCTATACCCGGGGTAGTAGGTGATCTTTTGTAAGAGTGAATAAACATTTTTTCTTAAATTTAATAAAAGATGCAATTTCTTCAATGACAAACATTTTTCTTATTCAATTTCTTTTGAATTCAGTTTTCCTTCATTCCAGTGCTCCATTTCATTCAGTTTTAAGCGGGATATT